CCGTCCATCGTCCCTTTGATGTGGTGAAGTTGTCCTGTCACCTTAGCAGAAAAACACCCCCAAAGCATAATGTTTCCACCTCCATGTTTGACGGTGGGGATGGTGTTCTTGGGGTCATAGGCAGCATTCCTCCTCCTCCAAACACGGCGAGTTGAGTTGATGACAAAGAGCTCGATTTTGGTCTCATCTGCAGATGAAGTATGCAGACATTTGCCCAGTCCATGAGCACATTATGTGGCCTCTCTGGCCGAGTCTTGTTCATCCGTGTAGTCTGTTTATTCAATACCAACTTCCTTGACTTACCATTGATGATGCCTAACTTACTGAAGTATGTTTGACAGACTCTGTTCTGCAGTGAGACCGTGTAGAGCTTGTGCTCTGTTACATATCAACCACATGAGCTAGTTCTATGCTGTTAGGTGTGGGGTGTGTGTGTTTTGGGTTTGGATGGTTTTTAGTCTGACTGCCAAATGGCATATGCCCATGGCTCATCATAAGTAGGCTACAACAACCAACCCCAACCAGAAACCCTGGATACAGTGGCTTACCAACCCACCTACCTAACCAGAAACCTGGATACTGGCTTACCAACCCAACCTACCCTAACCAAAACCCTGGATAAGTTGCTTACCAACCCAACTACCTCAGACCTATTGGTACCAACCCTGAAGATGATAATGGCTTCACCCACTCCCTAACAGAACCTGGAACAGTGGCTTACAACCCAACTACCTAACCAGAACTGGATACAGTGGCTTACACCCAACCTACCCTACCAGACCTGGATACAGTGGTTTACCAACCCCAACCTACCCTAACCGAAACCTGGATACAGTGGCTTACCAACCCAACCTACCCCAACCAGAAACCCTGGATACAGTGGCTTACCAACCCAACCTACCCTAACCAGAAACCCTGGATACAGTGGCTTACCAACCCAACCTACCCTAACCAGAAACCCTGGATACAGTGGCTTACCAACCCAACCTACCCTAACCAGAAACCCTGGATACAGTGGGCTTACCAACCCAACCTACCCTAACCAGAAACCCTGGATACAGTGGCTTACCAACCCAACCTACCCTAACCAGAAACCCTGGATACAGTGGCTTACCAACCCAACCTACCCTAACCAGAAACCCTGGATACAGTGGCTTACCAACCCAACCTACCCTAACCAGAAACCCTGGATACAGTGGCTTACCAACCCAACCTACCCTAACCAGAAACCCTGGATACAGTGGCTTACCAACCCAACCTACCCTAACCAGAAACCAAACCTGGATACAGTGGCTTACCAACCCAACCTACCCTAACCAGAAACCCTGGATACAGTGGCTTACCAACCCAACCTACCCTAACCAGAAACCCTGGATACAGTGGCTTACCAACCCAACCTACCCTAACCAGAAACCCTGGATACAGTGGCTTACCAACCCAACCTACCCTAACCAGAAACCCTGGATACAGTGGCTTACCAACCCAACCTACCCTAACCAGAAACCCTGGATACAGTGGCTTGCGAAAGTATACACGCCCCTTGGCATTTTTCCTATTTTGTTGCCTTGCAACCTGGAATGAAAATGGATTTTTTGGGGGGGTTTGTATCATTTGATTTACACAACATGCCTACCACTTTGAAGATGCAAAATAAAAAATGTTTGTGAAACAAACAAGAAATAAGACAAAAAAACAGAAAACATGAGCGTGCATAACTATTCACCCCCCCAAAGTCAATACTTTGTAGAGCCACCTTTTGCAGCAATTACAGCTGCAAGTCTCTAGGGGTATATCTCTATAAGCTTGGCACATCTAGCCACTGGGATTTTTGCCCATTCTTCAAGGCAAAACTGCTCCAGCTCCTTCAAGTTGGATGGGTTCGTACAGCAATCTTTAAGTCATACCACAGATTCTCAATTGGATTGAAGTCTGGGATTTGACTAGGCCATTCCAAGACATTTCAATGTTTCCCCTTAAACCATTCAAGTATTGCTTTAGCAGTATGCTTAGGGTCATTGTCCTGCTGGAAGGTGAACCTCCGTCCCAGTCTCAAATCTCTGTAGACTGAAACAGGTTTCCCTCAAGAATTTCCCTGTATTTAGCGCCATCCATCATTCCTTCAATTCTGACCAGTTTCCCAGTCCCTGCCGATGAAAAACATCCCCACAGCATGATGCTGCCACCACCATGCTTCACTGTGGGGATGGTGTTCTCGGGAATATGAGAGGTGTTGGGTTTGCTCCAGACATAGCGTTTTCCTTGATGGCCAAAAAGCTCAATTTTAGTCTCATCTGACCAGAGAACCTTCTTTTACATTTACATTTTAGTCATTTAGCAGACGTGCATACATTATTATTATATATATATATTTTTTTTCATACTGGCCCCCCGTGGGAATCGAACCCACAACCCTGGCGTTGCAAATGCCATGCTCTACTCTACTCTCTCTACAGGCTACAGGTAGCTAGTTACTCTCTCTACAGGCTACAGGTAGCTAGTTACTCTCTCTACAGGCTACAGGTAGCTAGCTACTCTCTCTACAGGCTACAGGTAGCTAGCTACTCTCTCTACAGGCTACAGGTAGCTAGCTAATCTCTCTCTACAGGCTACAGGTAGCTAGCTACTCTCTACAGGCTACAGGTAGCTAGCTACTCTCTCTACAGGCTACAGGTAGCTACTCTCTCTACAGGTAGTTACTCTCACTACAGGCTACAGGTAGCTAGCTACTCTCTCTACAACTACTCTCTCTACAGGCTATAGGTAACTAGCTACTCTCTCCAACAATGAGTGGAGATATACACCGAGTGTACAGAACATTAAGAACACCTGGTCTTTCCATGACATAGACTGACCAGGTGAATCCAGGTGAAAGATATGATCCCTTATTGATGTCACTTGTTAAATCCACTTCAATCAGTGTAGATGAAGGGGATGAGGCAGGTTAAAGAAGGATTGTTAAGCCTTGAAACAATTGAGAAATCGATTGTGTATGTGTGTCATTCAGAGGGTGAATGGGTAAGACAAAATATTTAAGTGCCTTTGAATGGGGGTTCAAAGGGGTATGGTAGTAGGTGCCATGCTCACCAGTTTGTGTAAAGAACTGCAACGCTGCTGGGTTTTTCACGCTCAACAGTTTCCCGTGTGTATCAAGAATGGTCCACCACCCAAAAGGCTCAACTTACACCTGTGACAGGCCACATCCGTGGATGCTTTGGACACCTGTGGAGCCATGCCTGACGAATTAGGGCAAAGGGGTGTCCTCTCATATTAGGAGCGCCTCCTACATGTTTTGTACCAGGTTAGTATTCTCATATTACCAATCTAAGGCTACAGTCTGTTACTATTCACACCATTCTCACATGCTATAGTAATAGCTATCTCTCAATTGAGATAACCAGTCGTCGATTGAGAAATGTCTCCTATGACATCTACAGTGAATCCTGTATAGATAATCCCTATTGATTACTTGTTAATCACTTCAATCAGTGATGAGGGATTAGCAGGTTAAGACATTGAATCCTAAGCAATTTGAAAATTCACCCGTATGTGATTCATTAAGGTTATGGAAGCAAAATCTTACAGTCCTGTTGAGGGTAGTTCAAGCCTATGAGTTATATAGTATTCCATGACCATAATCCTTGTGTAGAACTCACGCTTGAGACATTTATATATTCTCTATTAGACCATATCTACCCAGTTGTTTAGATAGTCCACACCCTATGAGCATACTTAACTCTATTGGGACCATGCCACAGCGTGTAATGTCCTGTGATCCTTTCGACACATATTGATTCTCTTAGACCATATGAGGGCAAAGCGGTGGTGATAATAGTTCAGGACGGTGGCTTAATTTTGTACCTCTGTATAGTATCTCATATCCATACATCTCGTTGTTGTAGAATTCCCTATGATGACATTATATAGTATTTTATGTATATCCATTTTAAAAGAAAGATGATGATTATTATGATGATGATGACTATTCTTTCTGATTTCAGTTCATTTTGTTTTCTGACATACACAAGCAAGGGGAGAAAAAATGGAGAGAGAGAGAGAGAGAGAAAGAGGGTGAGAGAGAGAAAGAGGGTGAGAGAGAGAAAGAGGTGAGAGAGAAGGGAAAGAGAAGAAGAGGAGAGAGATAAGAGTAGACGAAGAAGAAGAGAGAGATAGAGAAGGAGAGAAGAAAGAAAGAGGACGGATAGAGACAGAGGGTGAGAAAGAAAGGGAGATAGAAAGAGACTGTGAAAGAGAGCTCTTCTCCGTTTTCATTCCTTCTCCTATGTCCTCAGTTCTGCCTACCAGGAGTAATCTTGCACGGCTCTGGCTCCAGTTTAAATTTACGGGTTTACGTCTGACTGTTTTGCGCTTCGTGCTTTGGTCAGAGCGCGGAGGCAATGAAAGTGAGCCGGCGGAACTAATCGTGTTTTCACGGTTTGTACCAGGCTACCACACACACACACACACACACACACACACACACACACCACTGAAGGGGGAGGTCAGAGAGAGGAGGGTTTGGGAACATCCACCATGAAACCTTCTGTTGAATCCAGATGCATTGGTAGCTTCACTAACACTTTAGGCTACACTATATTGTTCTAATTACATTTCGATTTGAGTCATCCAGAGCAACTTAAAGTTGTTAAAGTTCTCATCCTAAGGTAGATATAGGTAGGCTAGGACAAACACATATCGCAGTCATAGTAAGTAAAACTTTCCTCAATAAAGCAGCTATCAGCAAAGTCAGTGCTAGTAAGAAAATACAAATGTTAGTACTCATGCTTTAGTTGAGGCGCCACTATAGTTACAGTTTAACCTAATTATCCCTGTAGCCTAGCAACTACTACATGTTATGTTGCCTCGTGCAGCCTTTAGATGCATTGGTAATCTAATGTCACAAACTTCTATGTGTGTTTACCACTGTGTCATTATTCAAACTAGTGTTTCGTCTGTTTTCCTGTAAGAATAGAATAGTATTTGTCCTATTACCTGTTGCATATTTAGATGCATTGGTAATACAATTTCACAAACTACCACAATAGCAATGTGTCCAATAGGCTAGTCTAGCGGTTAAGAGCGTTGGGCTAATAATCGAACGTTCGCTGGTTCGAACCCCAGAGCCGACTAGGTGAAAAATCTATTGATTTGCCCTTGAGCAGGGCACCTAATTCCTGGAAGTGTAAAGTTTTCCCCATTACCTGTAGCATGTTTCTGGAGATCCACGTGTCCAGCAGTAGGTCCAGCCTGTTGTGGTGGTATTTCCTGGTGGTTTTCACCGCTATGAACACATCCGCCGGACTGAGCTCCTCCACCGGGGTAGGATCACTAGCCTTCACCGCTCTGTGCTCCACCGCCCGCTTCCCCCGGCTCAACTCACTGAAGTACACCGAGAAACCCTTCACCTGTGCCGCCTGACATTTCTCCCCGACCCGGTCCTCGGTTTTGTCATTTTTACCCATGCTGTTTAAACTCTGCAGGGAGCGAGTCCCGAACTCTCTCTCGGTGGAAACGTCCTCCACTTGACTCCCCCGGTGTTTGTTAACAGCGACAAGAAGAAACATCATCACGAGACAGGTGAACGAGGCTCCTCCAGCCGGGGAGAGGGCGCATTTTCTCCAGACGCCTTTTGACATCTTGCTAAAAATTTACAAATCTAAAATAGATCGTTGATAATCCCATACAATGGTGAGCAGTGCAAACATTGACAATGAAAGTGCAAGTCTATTCCACTGCGACAAAACTCACAGAATAGGGAGACATTTGACTGTTCATCCTGGTTTGCCTCTCTCTCTAGATTACTGGACTATTCCATTCTAACCTACTGTTAGTTCTAACCCGAGCTACCAGAGGGAGAAAGCCACGCCTGTAGGCGGGACTAGTCTCCTCTCCAGCCACTAGACGCTTTGAGCGCACTCTGTCTGGGCGTGACCGGGGAGCAAGAGGCGGGCCGGTTGTCAATCAAAATATAACTAAAACTACAGCATCAGTTCTCTACAGCAAATGATTATAATACATTTGTATCAACTATCATTTAATGCATAATAATTTATCCAAAATAAGTTTACTATGAAAATGTAAATTAACTAATACATTTTAATAACTAATTTGTTAACTAATACATGTATTAAGTAGCTCGAGAGACAACAGTTGTCTCTGTTGGAACGTCGCGCGCGTTCCGTTTTGCATACTGGAATGTTGGCAGCCGCGGTTCCTTGCAGACAGATGTTGGAGCAGCGCATGACAGCGGCGCGTGTGTAGTGCTGCCAACCAGAGGAGATGACAGATCACACACACACACACACACACACACACACACACCACACAACACACACACACACACACACACACACACACACACACACACACACACACACACACACACACACACACACACACACACACACACACTGCCAGTGTAGTTGTGCCAGCAAGCATGGTTCCAAATCTAGTGGTCTTTGGAATGTTTCCTCTTCAACAATACAGTGCTTGTCTGAGCGGCTTTTTCACAGCCGATCTGTGAAGGGTACTAAACACACGCACAAACAGCTAAACACACACTCTGATGTGTGGGCACACACACATTACCAGGAATCGACTCTTGGAATTTCTGGATTGCCTAAAAAATCAACCCCTTGAAGATTGTGTGTGTGTGTGTGTGTCTGATGTTTTTTGGTTTGTGTTCAGAATGAATCTTCCTCTCCCTTCCTTCCCCCTCTCCTGTCCTCCCATTTTCCTCTCCTCCTCTCTTCCCCCTCTCTTATCCTCCCCCTCTCCTCCTCCCTCCCCCCTTCCCTCCCTCTCCTTCCCTCCCTCCCCTCTTCCACCTCCTCCCCCTCCCTCCTCTCCCCCCCTTTCCCCTCCCCCCCTTTCCCTCCCTCCTTCCTCTCCTTTTCCTTCCTCCCCTTTCCCTCCTCTCCTCTCCTCCCCTCCTCTCCGCCCCCCTCCTCTCCTCCCCCCTTTCTCCTCTCCTCCTCCCTCCCCTCCCTTCCCCCCTCTCCTCTCCCCCTTTCCCCTCTTCCTCCTCCCTCTCTCCTTCTCTTTCCTCCTCCCCCCTTCCCCCTCCCCCTTTTCCTCCTCCCCCCCCCCCCCCTTCACTTCCCCTGCCCCCCTCTTAAAAGGACAAGAGAAAGAAGGACTGACCCTTCTCCCCAAAACCCGAAAAGGGGAATAAACCCTCACACACCACAACACACAACAAACAGCCCGACGCTTTAAATCTTTTCCGTTAAAACACACCCCTGTCCAGCATTTTGTGCGTGTGTGTGTAGAGGGTTCTGTGTAAAGATGTGATGTATTACTAAGACAAAAATGTACACCTGATGTTGGACCACGGCTGGCTGGGGTCCAGAGTGGGTGTGATTATTCATTTAGAGATAAAGGACAGGATCAGTCAGTTAAATTCTCTCTCTCTCTCTCTCCTCTCTCCTCCTTCCCCTCTCCTCTCCCTCTCTCCTCTCCCCTTCCTCCTCTCCTCTCTCTCTCTCTCCTTCCTTTCCCCTGGTCTCTCGTCTCTCCCGGGGTCTTTTCTCCCTCCTCCTCTCTCTCTCTCTTTCCCCCTCTTCTCTTTTCCTCCCTGTCTCCCCTCTCTCCTTTTCCCTCTCCGTTGGGCCCCCTGTTTCCTCCCTCCTCCCCCCCTTTCCCCCTCTTTTTTCTCTCCCTTTTCCTTTTCCCGGCCATCCGTTTTTCCCCGGTCCCTTTTTTCCCCTTTTTTCCCCTGGGGTTTTCCCCTTTTTCCCCAAAATTTTTTTTCCCCCTTTTTTCCCCCAAACCCCGGGGGTTTTTCCCTTCCCTTTGTGGAAAAAAGGGGCCCCCCCCCCCCCCCCCCAAAAAATTTTTTCCCCCCCCCCCCGAAAAGCCCCCACCCCCCCCAAAAAAAATTTACTGAAAACAGAGGAATCTAAATTCCCCTCCCTCCTCCATCCCCCACCTCCCTTCTCTCGTTCCTTTCTTCCCCTCCTGTTCCCATTTCCCACTGGGGGCAGTCTCCTTCCCCCTTTTACTTTTCCGACCATTTACACTCCTGTTCCTCCACCCCCCCCCTTCGCCCCTTCCTTTTGTGGGCCGTTGTCGTTAGAGTTCTTTCTTGGTTTTCTTCTCTCTCATTGTCACTCTTTCCCGGTGCGGGTTTCCTTTCGTATTTCTATTGTAATGGGCTCTTCCCCGTAATCTCTCTCTCTCTCTCTCTCTCCCCCCTCCTCTCTCTCTCTCTCTCTCTCTCTCTCCTCCTCTCTCTCCTCATCTCTCCCCTCCCCCTCCTCTTCTCTCGATCTCCCGCCATCTAGTCCCCTTTTCTCGTCTCCTCTCCCTTTCTCTGTCTCTCTCCGCTCTCAATCGATCGTCCTCTCTCTCTCTCTCTCTCCTTTCCTCCATCCCTCCTCCTCTTTTTTTTCTCTCCACCAATGTTTCCCAAATTCCCGTTCAAGGTCATGGTTTTCCGAGTCTGAAGTGTGTGAAGTGGGGACTTTTCCCTGGATGTTTCCACCCCCTCTGAGCCCACAACTAATTTCTTACTACTAATAGAATCCATATAAGACACAGGTCAGAAGTCTCATTGTCATACGATTACAGTACAGTAACATGCATACACCCCCACACACACCCCACCACACCACACACCCCACACACACCCCCACACAGCACACACACACACCACAACAACCCCACCACCCACGCACACACACAAAGCACCACCCACGCACCACACACGCCCCCACACGACACCACAAACGCACACGAACACCCCCCACCACAACCACACAACCAAATCACCACCACCCCCAACACGCCACACGCACACTCTTCTCAGACATCTTCAACATGTCCCTGTCCCAGGCTGTATTCCCCACCTGCTTTAAGGAGACCTCCATGGTCCCAGTGCCCATGAAACACAAGGTGACTATCCTCCGCCGCGCTCATCCCGGTCATCATGAAGTGCTTGGAGAGGCTGGTCATGGCCCGCATGCCAGGAACACTGGACCCCAGTCCAATTTGCCCACCGCTGCAACAGATCCATGGAAGACGCCATTTCTATCACTAGCGACACATACTGGACAAGAGGAACCGGGAGAGAGTTCGGGACTCGCTCCCTGCAGAGTTTAAACAGCATGGATCCTGGACTTCCTGACGGTCGGACCACAGGCTGTGAGGATTGGCATCAACACCTCCTCCACACTGACTCTTAACACAGGGGTCCTCCAGGGGAGTGTCTTCAGTCCTCTGCTGCACTCCCCGTTCACCCGCGACTGCGTGGCTTTGCGCGACACCAACTACATCGTCAAGTTCGCTGACGACACCACGGTTGTAGGCCTGGTAACCGACAACAACGTGTCAGCCTATAGGGAGGAGTTAAGTGAACTGGCATTGTGGTGTCATGACAACAACCGCTCCCTCAACATCAGTTGATCGTTGACTTCAGGAAACAGAGGAGGGAACTTTCCCCCGATCCACATCAATGGGACTATAGTAGAGAGAGTCACAAGTTTTAAGTTCCTTGGCGTCCACATCACCGAGGACTTGTCATGGATCAACAACACCTCCACTCTTGTCAAGAGGGCGCAACAGCGTCTCTACTTCCTAAGGCTGCTGAAGACATTCGGCATGCCGCCCCAGGTCCTCTTAAATACTACTGCTGCACCATCGAGAGCACCCTGACCGGTTGCATCCCGGCCTGGTATGGGAATTGCTCCGTCCACGGCCGCAAGGCCCTCCAGTAGGTGGTGAAGACGGCCCAGGACATCCCTGGGACCGTCATTCCACCCATCCAGGACATCCCTGGGACCGTCATTCCACCCATCCAGGACATCCCTGGGACCGTCATTCCACCCATCCAGGACATCCCTGGGACCGTCATTCCACCCATCCAGGACATCCCTGGGACCGTCATTCCACCCCATCCAGGACATCCCTGGACCGTCATTCCACCCATCCAGGACATCCCTGGGACGTCATTCCACCCATCCAGGACATCCCTGGGACCGTCATTCCACCCATCCAGGACATCCCTGGGACCGTCAATCCACCCATCCAGGACAATCCCTGGGACCGTCATTCCACCCCATCCAGGACATCCCTGGGCACGATCAACCCCCATCCAGGACCATCCCTGTGACCGCATTCCCCATCAGACATCCTGGACCGCTTCACCTCCGGACATCCTGGGACGTCATTCCACCCTCCGACATCTACTTGAACGTGACTGGGATCACAGCTCGCAAGACCGCACGCCCACCACGCTTCTCCTCCCTACCGTCTGCGACGGTATCGGAGCATGGGTGATACAAACAGGCTCATGATGTTTGATCGCAAGCCATCGGACGCGAACACTTGACTGACTATATGCTCCGATTCTCTGCACCTAACCATCACAACTGCGTACAGATCTTCCAATGCATTAAAAATTGGTTAATTGTCCTTCTGTATTATCTGATGCTAAAGTTTCTTTCTACTGACTTTACTTTTGTTCCTATTTTGGAACTACTTTATTGTTGTTTGCCATGGGAATGCTTTCCGCACCGAGGAGTCCATGCCCTGACGAATTGAGGCTAAAGGGGTGTGCAACTTCAAATAGTAGGACGTGCGCTAAGGTTTTGTACACTCAGTGTATAGTATTCTCTATTAGACATCAAATCCTACC